GGTTCTGCTAACTTAATTTTGAACGATCTTGCGAAGTCCGCCTTATGACCCATGTCAAGGAGATGCCTGGCGATAGCATTGTTGAAAACATTTGTTTCCTTGAGACGTAGGCTTTTTGCTACATGTTCAGAAAATCGGAGGTATGCCTTTTTTCTGTTCTTCCAATGTAATTGCTCCCGCAGATACACGTAAATTTGTATATGCAGTTGGAGTTAACATGAGAAAGAAGTATGTCGATTTTCGATTGCACTAAAGAGCAAGTTGTTCGACAGACGGGAACAAGCTTAGCTGCAGGATAGGCTGTGCCTCGGGATTTCCTCAGTTTTCTGTTGAAGTTGCTGCAACGTTTTCACCTTTAAAATCCATTTGAATGTAAATGGGCTTTTTTCCATTCTATAGTACAGAGTCTTGACCAGTCCACGTTTAAAGCTATTAAAATGTAGGTATTATCCTTTCCATTCAGGCTTTTGGTTAGTTGACTTTTAGAGACTACGAAGGGATTCCGCATATCTATTATAGTTTTTCTTTCCTCTGAATTATAAACGACTATACTGGAGAACAAAGTAATTCAAATGACTTCGAATTCCTGGTGACTTTTTGTAATCAAACTTGTGATGTCATTTAGTCAGTTATGTTTCCGGGGGAAATCGTTACGTATACCTTTATCTAGATTTTTCTCACCTTTAGCAAGATGTACCTACTAAGTGCGTCGGTGGCACAGTGGTTAGGACTCTCGCCGACCATGCACATGGTCCGGGTTTCGAGCCCACGTCGACGCACACCTGATATCTATGGTCGGCCTGCAACATTTGGGCTACCGATATCCACGCTGAAAATTCCACACTTGTACCAAAAATACAGTGTGGAATCAAGCTGTAATCAAAAAATCAAAAAAATCAAAATCAGAATAAGTGTAGGGAAATAAATCTCCATAAAAACCTTGACTTCTTCAGTGTTACATTCAAAGATGCTCTAAAGAAGCTAATTACCTTGTGTCAAATAATTAACTGGCTTGGATTAGATATATTCAGCTTACTGTTAGTATAGAATCTTCATGAGAACTTGTGACTTACAGTATGTAATATGGTGAAGTGTTACTCCATATGAAGCTTAATGAAATCCCCTGCTACAATTTTTCTTTAATCCCTTCATAAAATGCCCATCATTGTGTTGAAATCTGGTAAAGAATATGCATGCGTTCATGTAGTGATGAAACAACATAAATAACTAAGTCAGAGTCTAAGAATAGCCATCTAAGCAATACGAATACACGACTGACCTTCAGGCGACCAATCAGAATAACCGGAGCGTTTTTTTTACAAATAATGCGGTTTATTTACTAGACAAATACAGATAATAAAATTAAAACACCCTTACCCCAATCTTAACCCTGATCCTACCCCCAATAATGAAGTGATATATATGACAATCAACTAGACAGCTCAGAAAACGCATGAATGTGCGTCTTTCTTCATGGTTCGGAAAAGGCCAAATAAAATCTATAAGAAGTTCTGTTTTTTGTCTCATTTGATTGATAGCAGTTACCAAGTGGACAGGCGGAACATTATCAAGGTTACCCACCTCATTCCATCGAATCATCTGGACAGAGTTCGAACCCGACTTTTACACATGGCCAAAGTTATGGGAATTCGAGAGAACAAACTTAGTCTTTGCATACAAAAAACTTTCTTCTACCTTTGTCTCTCTCTCTCTCTCTTGCTCGCTTAGGTAAATTCTGTTTAAAACTTCTCACTCTTTCTTATTCTCTATTTCTTTCACACTTTTATAATATTTAAACTCTGATTATCTGCTCACTTTTACCTTAGTATTAGGTAACTTTTAAGATCTGTGCGTCGGTGGCACAGCGGTTAGGACTCTCGCCGACCATGCACATGGTCCGGGGTTCGAGCACCCGCTGGCGCACACCTGATATCTATGGTCGGCCTGCAAAATTCGGGCTACCAATATCACATGCTGAAAATTCCATACTTGTACCAAAAATACAGTGTGGAATCAAGCTGTAAATCAAAAAAATAATAAATTTATTAATTGAATTTTTTAGATATACATACTATCTTTGTTGTTCTTACCTTGACCTGGATAAACTCCTTGTACTTTTGCTAACATTAACCTTATTATCATTATTTTTGCTATCAGTATAATAATCGTGGTTACTGATGTCCAAAACATTTAATACATATATTATGTAACCCACAGACTCATTGTTATTGGTTAAATCTTGATTGGACACTAGTAACTAGTATGGCGTATCTAGTCCTTTCTTTGGTGCAGACTGAATTCTATCAGTCAGCTTTTGCAATGTGGCCATCATTCTAGGTAGCTCGTCATTACGATGCACATTGATTTGATGATATATATATATTAAATAGTTGGAGGTGATCGGCAGAAAGCAACGCCTGACCTAGTTTTCGTGCTAGTTGGCACTCACCATTCACCAAGGCGTATCTGCAAACTTGTAGGAACTCATGTCCCTTCTGAGATTCGAACCCGCGTTATCCAGCTAGGCTGCAGTCATAGACGTTACCACTGAGCTATTCGGGTCCGCGATTGTCCTTCTGTAGGCCTGTAGTGGGTTTTTTGGTTAAATCTTTTACATATAAAGCCATATAAATTGAAGCAAAGTCTAGAAAAAATAATGTTCACCTACATATCTTGTCCTAACCTTAATCCTAACCAAAACACTAGTCGTAACCGTAGAGAGTTATCAATCCATTATCCATATAGTACTTCAAAACGAGACAGAGATGAAATTCGTGCCCCCAATTCGTGCAACGCGATCATAGTGACACTAACAAAAACTGTAGGTCCCGCTGTTGAACTAAATGTATGCATTCAAGGTCACCGGCGCATTCGCTTTCCTGTATCACAATTCTTTCCTTAGCTTGTTCATAATTGGACGATTAAAAAAGCGAGAAAAGCAGAAGAGTTTATGGATTATATTTGATGGAAACTAAAGTGGTCCCATGATTTAGGCAGTCAGTCATCTGTTTAAATCATATGCACTGCATTTAAACTCACTTTAATAGCTTATTATTATTCATTATTTCACCTAAAAAGGTTAGTTAATTAAATTGACCATATGCCTTAGTAGAATATATTTTCTCTCTTGCAGATTATCACTGTGACCAAGTAAAACGTTTTTAGAACATGATAATCAGTATTCGATTGGTTTTATGAGTTTATCTGCTGAATACGAAGCCTATTGTAGAGCTTGCGAAAAGTATTAGTCATAAAGAGAACTTTCCGCGCTCTTAGGTCCTTTCTTCTATCTAACCAGCGTTATGTGTCTAAACTAGACCTTGTACAGTTTACTATTTCACTAGTTTTTTAGCCCCTCCTCGATTCTGAAAAGAGGGCAGATGTGGGGTGGGACAAGCAAACCTTTCCCCGGAAAACTAATCCAATCGCTACAGAAACAGCGCCTACAAATAATGCTAAACAAAAGCAGAATAAAGACCCCTACAGTCAACTACTAAAAGAACAAGGGATTGATAGGGTACATATTGAAAGGCCTAATGAGTGACATAGAGCAACAGGCCAGCCGTGGAGTAGAATCTGATTTGAAAACTACAATTCGAGCATACCTTATTTTCCACTAGGAAACCAAGGGAGTTGTGATGCTCAGTTCCAAAAAACACCTTATTCATGAACTTGGAATTCAAAGGTGATCAAGCTTCAGATATGCTCAAAAATCGTCTCTCTAAATCAGTCAGTAAGATGTTCCCTGAAGCAAAATTACATATGACGTTCACGAGTCGCAAATTGTTCTCTACTTCTGTAAAAGATAAGCTCACCCGTCTGACCGCCTCCATGTGCATCTATCAGTTCACATGCTCTTTTGGAGCAAGGTACATTGGCCGTAGTCAGAGAACGCTCTCCACACGGATACGAGAACATATTCCAGCTTCGTTTTACAAGTAAGAAAGGAAGTGTTTGCGAAGCTCTATTCTGGAACACCTGATCGACTTCTGTCACTCGGTCAACCATGACCATGATTTCAAGATCATATATACTGAATCCATGCTAAATTTCCGCGTTTTCATACTTACAGACTTCTAAAGACAGCTGAGGTCCTGGCAATTCATGACTTTAAGCCAGCCAGACTTTTGTGTACAAAAGAAGTATGTACAATCCCTAATTCTGCCTTGGCCGTAGACGGAAAGACATTTATTTGTTTTGTTTATTTAGTCATTCTATGTACTTTTCCCTTATTACTTCGATTATTTTTACTATTATTATTATTATTACGACTCTCACTCTGAATCTTTTCCACTTGATCCACCTGACATATTAAACCCAAATTATTGATTTGTGTATTTTTACTTTTACAATATTGAATTCTATCTTATCACGCTACATTATGTAACATTATGCTAATCCTATAATTATGTACCTCCTTCCAAAATCTATACACCTTATGTATTATTCTATATATGACACTAATTATTTTGCCACTTGACATTTAACTATGATTATAATCACAAATATTTTAATTGCATTTCATACTACTATTATTATTTCATGTATTTACACCTTTGACATAATTTCCTCACCGGATATAATTGTTTTATAAAACCATATATATATATATATATATATACGATTGTACAGCTTGATAATAAATTCGTTGAAAAGAGTCTCTTCGCTGAATACTGTGTTCTTAACTGTAATGCTATGTCTATTCCAAAAATGTCACTTCTGACTGGATTCCATCAATCAGGTTCGAATCGCAGTCAGAAAATCAATGAATTAGGGTCACTGACGAGTGCTATTTAGACACGAAAGCAGTTCTACTGCTTCTCTCCTATTACCTTCAACCATCTAACATCGATTTATAGTGCAGTGTGAGACCACAGTGCAAACCTCACTGACAGAATTCAGTCAGCACTGATTTTAACGGAATAAACAGATGACATCGATTACCTCCATACAACGAATGAGAGTGATGAAATAGTTATCCATTACAAGCAAACTGTAATTCCAGTTCTTCAATTTTTAATTTCTTTTCAATAACAAAGGTCTTGTAACACCAAAAGAAATGAAAATAGTTGTACAAAATATATACATTTAGGTATTTACACAAATAAATAACAAACGATCATAAATTGATTAGTAAAATGTATGTTCAACGTAATGGAATAAAAAAAGATGGGTCAGTGTGTTCGGCAAAATCAGATAACTTTAAGTTATTTTCGGTGATAATTCATTGATTAAAGTGCCCAGATCCCAGATATAAGTGTTTCCGTCAGTGCTTCCAGTAGCTAAGAGTCTGGAACTAAAATAATAGTAATAATGATAAAATAGTGAAAATGAAAGTGATATGTAAAACAAACTCTCAATTGGCAAATTACAGGTTTGTTTAGATGAGTTGATCACGGATTGATATCAGTTAGGTGACCATTGAAAACCAGCATTGGAGTACTGGACAGCTGTTTCATCACCGAACTAGTTTGGGAATCATTGGAAGTACGCACCCACCGTTAGGGTTCAAACCCAAAACCTTCAAGTCATATGGCGAGCACGTAGATCATTCAGTCACTTCCACCTGGCTGAATGGCCAACTCATGAATTCTAACTTCTCTAAATTCGTGATTTAGCGTGACCATCAAGCGATTTCATCGATGGGACATCCATCCTCACACTTGACTGGATGGACCTCGCTGGTCCTCACAAGTGACTTGCTACAGGACAAAGTTTCCTGGAGTTCTAATGAGAAGTCGTGACTAGTGAGGTGTATTCAGTCCGGAGTAAGGAGGGATTTCCTACCGATGACATTGGTTGGTGGCAGTTACGCTAAATCACGAATTGGTAGAACTTAGAACTCGTGGGCTGGCCTATGAATAGGGTACTAGTGGCTGAATGGTATACGAAGCAGTTTAATTTGTAACCGGAAGGTCCCGGGTTCGAACCCCGGTGGTGGGTGTGCACTACCGATAATTCTCAAACTAGGATGAAACAGCTGTCCAGCACTGCACTGACATCAATCCGTGGTCACTTCATCAAAATAAATCTAATCCTTGCTAACCAACTATTGAAAATTACGAATTTGATTTAATACATTACCAGTTCGCTCAAGTAGATAGCCAGAAATTGGGTAGTTTGAACTGTATCAGCTCTCCGAGCTAAAGTCGAACCACGTGCAGCACTCATGAGGTCTGTCCCAAACGATTAGAACGACTGTCCGCTGTGTTTAGACCACTTCAATATGACCAGTAATCACTGTTGTCTGATGTGAGGGGTTTAAAACTACTCATCTCGATCGATCAGTAATATATAATTATGCACATTTATGATTTGTTTATATTACAGCTTGATTCCACACTATATTTTTGGGACAGGTATAGAATTTTCAGCATGTGATATCGGTAGCCCAAATGTTGCAGGCCAACCATAGATATCAGGTGTGCGCCGGCATGGGGTCGAACCCTTGACCATGTCCATGGTCGGTGAGAGTCCTGACCGCTGTGCTACCGACATGAATAAACAAAATAACTCTTACCTTTTATGATTAAACTCTACAGTTATAAGTGAGCCTTGATTAGTATTGTCTATCACAGAGGTGAGTGTATGCATTAGTGTAGGCTGGTAATTATATTCCCTGTCGACATCCTCCATGGTAGTCATTTGTATCTGCATTTCACCATCACTATCATCATCAGCTAAATCATAGATGAGTATTTGATTGAATTCAGTAATACAAATGAAGATATTTGGATAATGAGGGGAAAATTTAGCCCCTGATATTAAACCTTCACTTGGATTAATATTTATTAAAGGTGATTTTTGTAATACATTAAAAATCTAAAATTCAAAAAGGAAAAGGTAGTCAGTTAGTTGATAACTTAATAAGGGAAAACATGTGTGCACAATATACATCCAAGTGGATCAAAAGATATTGTATGATTTAAAAAAAAAGAGATTTGAACTAATATGTCTGTCTTATTTGGTGAATGATGACTGGCGGTTGAATCTGAGATGATAAATTCGTCCTGTTCAGGACTTATAAGATGGATATATCGTTTCAAAAAACATTTAGGTCGCGACGGATACCTCTTGTATAGTGAGGACAAGTTATTATTTTATTTGAATCAGTTTTGTTTCTTTGGTTGAGTGATTGCATTGAAATATCCGGTCTTTATAGAAGTGTCAGCTAACAGTATGGACATTCAAGGTATTCAGCAACGTTGACAGTGAGGTAATTTGGAAACTACATCAATACTGTGAAGTGCCTTAAATATTTAGCTACCTCATTCGATACCTTCGCCGAGTGACAGGTGATCCACAATGGAAAAATTAATGAAGACTGTGAAGCTACGCGTTTAAGTCGAATAAAGAAGTATGAAAAGGTTGCCTATTATTATCACCGATGATACTCGTAATTTTAGTGAACCGGATTGTGCGTCGGAATTTGAAGAGTGAAAAGACAATTGTCAATGGAGTTGAAGATTGAACGATCAATTCTTGGTTGTTTGCTCAAAATCAACTTCCTCGATTTTCGCGGAGGCATCAATACGACAGTCATCGTCTCATCGGTCGCTGTTCAGAAAGAAGATTGAAACATCGTCAGAAGTAACATAACGATTTATTATTGTAATATTTGTTTACAGACCTTAGTTTGCTTAGTTCGCTTATTCCTTTTATATGTTGGTGTAACAATACAGAAATATCAAACGGCAGATCGGTGTTTTGGTTTTTGCGTCCGTTATAACTAAGCGTTTCTGAGAAATCTTCTAAGAACAGCGTGGGCCCGAGCGTAGCGAGAGCTGGGCATTAACGGTTTATGAGACTTGGCTGACAGTTTCTGACGATAGAAACAGATCTGGCGGATTCAAACAGTTGGTGAAAGTTTGGATAGTCGCCGTTCATTTTTCCTGGTGCCGGTCAAGTCCTCTTTGAACAAGCAATATCTGGAACTTTTTTGGAATTGGGTCAAGTTCAACAATGCCTGGGTCAAAGAAGGGACAGAGTGTCTTGGATGCAAACAGGAAAGTAAGTCATGGTGACTTGTCTGTTAATTGTAACGATGTGTCTGATGTTAAGCATGACATGGTTGATGTTACTGTTTCGCCGTTCAGGGATAATAGGAACATCAAACTCCCTAAATTAGAACCACGGTGTTTTGATGGAAACCCGGCTGATTATTTACAATTTGTAAAGGAGTTTGAGATCATGTTGAGTGGTTTTTTATTAAATGATGAATTGAAGTTAATGTATTTGATGAGATATTGCACTGGAGATGCTGCAAGAGCTATACAGTGTTGTAAGTTTATGAAGCCAAAAGAGGGCTACTACGAGGCTATGAGCATATTACGTCAAAGGTTTGGAAGACCTTCGATGATTGCAGGGAAATTATTCGAGGCTGTTAAGGGTAATGGTGGTCAATTACAGGATGACTCCCAGGCACTCACTGAGTTTTTAGATAATTTGCTAATTTACAAGAATGGAATGATTTCGATGAATCGAATGAGTGACCTCAACTCGAGTTTTATACTAGAAGTAATAGCAAGACGTCTACCTACTCGACTGCAAAGGAAGTGGGTGAAGATAAGCTCCCGTATGGAGGATGAGGGTATCGAGCCAAAGTTTGATGATATCCTGAAACTGGTAAATACTAGTGTCAATCAATCTATGAGCAAGTTTTCCAGTCTGTTAGATCTCACCCCTAGAATAGAGCAGTCTGAGGGTAAAACGCACTCATTGATGACGAATAAGCCTCAGAGAGGTGGATATCGAGAAGACTCCATGATGTCTAGTAATGCATATAGACCTAGTGAGTGTAACAGGTTTCGTAGTACATCCTCAACAGATAAGTTACAAGATGCAAGACAAACACGGTTTGTTTTACACGTGTGCAAGAGGTGCATACAGAAGTGAACTGTGAACCAGTGAGCAAGTTCAGTGATAAGCTAAATGTAAACTCCAGGTCTGACTCCGAATTGTGTGACGATAACGGTGTTGTGAAGAAGTCTGTAGTTGCAACTGGTAAGCCGTTGTTGAATAGAGTGTCACAGAATAGAGTTACTGCTTCAGAGTGGAGTTCTGACTCCAAAAGTTTACAAGGTATTACTAGTCAGAGTGAAGTTATAAAACCTTTTATGATTTGCGAGGAGGAACCAAAATTGTCTACTTCTGTTATTAAAGAGTTTGAAAATGATGAAGTTGACGGTAAAGTGAATATTTGTGGTAATGATCATGATACTTCACAGTTGTCTTTGGTTGATCATTATGAGATGAGGGATATGCCTACTACTGCTAAGTTAAATAAAGGTTCTGTACAACTACAACGTGAAGTAGAATTGAACGCAGATGCAGTTCCAAAAGGTGTGCATACTTGTGAGACAGTCAGTGTAATTGATCAGCGTGTAGCCCACCTATCATCAGATGATAGTGCTAAACCCGAACTAGTAGTGAAAGACAGCAGTGGTGGTAATCTTGCAGTTGGACAACTATCTGAGAGCCGAACAAGAACAGCTTCTGATCCACCACTAAGTTCATCACCTTGTGTCACTCAGTCATCGTTGGTGCTGTCATCCACAATGAAACAGACACCCATCAACTCAAGTATCTTGTGCAATGACTATGGTAGTATCAGTTCGTTTGAAAGGACGAATATCAATGGTCAGTTTAGTGTGGATAAGCCAAGTGTAAAGGAGAGAGTTATTGTTAAATTGACTTGCACGAATAAAGGCATTTCTAGTTTCAAGTTACTATTTGAATGTTATTATCTTTGGTGTAAATTACTCTGTTTCTACACTTGGTTGATGAGATATGTCGTGTGTTTGTTGGTCATCTATATTCTACGATACAATGACATGGGCGTGTTGCCGTTCAGATTTGAGGATATAGCTCATAGAAGGAAGTTAGCAAATGAACTCTGCGACGATTTTCCAACCTAGGGCGTCAACCTGAGAAGGGTTGTAGGCGTACTGCTGTAAGTCCTACAATTCTTCAAAGGGTAGCGCATCAATGAGCAGTCCAATGTGCTTGGTGTGTGATTTTGTACATATGTTCATATTGTATATACTGAATTGATATCATCTGTCATCTAGCTGTTGGTAATTCTGTTTGTGTCCGGACGACTTCCACTTGGATCATCAACCTGAGAAGGAATGTAGGCGTACTGCTGTAAGTCCTACAGTTCTTCAAGGGTAGTTTGTCGTGTCAGAATCCACAACATTTGATGTGTTGATTGTACATATGTTTGTGTTAAATAGTTGTGTGAGTTCCAATTGATGTAATTGTTGGTTAATCTTGTTTGTGTCTGGACATTCCACAACTTACAATCGTCAACCTGTGAAGGGTTGTAGGCGTACTGGTGTAAGTCCTGCAATTCTTCAAAGGAATTCCACCAAGACATGATCGGCGAGGTTGTTTGTACTATTTGTATATACGTGTGGTGTGTCATATCAATTGGTGTTTTTTGGATTCATTGTGTTTACTTGTTGTTTTCGTGTCTTGTTGTTATTGCGTAATTTTGTTAAAATTTTCGTCGTGATTATTTCTGAAGTTGTTTCGAGTCTTCTACATCCATGAATGAATTGATTGATGTTAAGGACAGCAGATGGGTCGTATACGCCGGGGAGGCTATTGCTGAGAATGAAATGCACACGGAGATAATTGTTAGCTGCGGTCCGACACGCCGGGGAGAAAGAGTGTAAACGACTGAGGCTCGCATGCGTCACCGCTACTAGAACTGAGGCAGAATGAGTGACAAGCGATTTCAGTGGTAATTGGTAATGAGTAGATAAGAGGATGTGCGTAGAGTATCGTGAGGTGCTGCCATGGTCACTTTGCATTCTGCAAGAGTCATTCTAGCAAGTGGAGACTGTGTTGCAAGATGTCAAGAGGAGGTCTCTATCTGGAGGCGCAGGTCGTCATTGATGTGTGAGATTGTGCTGTGGGTATGCTTGTGGTGTGTTGGCTTTTCTGTTTGTTTTCCATTTCAGCTCTGTCCGTGTGACCCAGGTTCTCGCAATGGCATCCAAGTCAACGTGCATTGGTCGTGAAGGAAAAAAGGGTTGGATCCCTTTTTTGCCGGGGAGTGTCAATGGAGTTGAAGATTGAACGATCAATTCTTGGTTGTTTGCTCAAAATCAACTTCCTCGATTTTCGCGGAGGCATCAATACGACAGTCATCGTCTCATCGGTCGCTGTTCAGAAAGAAGATTGAAACATCGTCAGAAGTAACATAACGATTTATTATTGTAATATTTGTTTACAGACCTTAGTTTGCTTAGTTCGCTTATTCCTTTTATATGTTGGTGTAACAATACAGAAATATCAAACGGCAGATCGGTGTTTTGGTTTTTGCGTCCGTTATAACTAAGCGTTTCTGAGAAATCTTCTAAGAACAGCGTGGGCCCGAGCGTAGCGAGAGCTGGGCATTAACGGTTTATGAGACTTTGCTGACAACAATAGATGCTCCGGAGCTCGCGAAAGATTTGTGTTTGGTGGCTTACAAACTCAAAGAAGCAGTGAAGAAAGAACTCCAGGTGAACATAGAGAAGAAGATAATGATGAACATAACCCAACAGCAGCACCAGTCATTATCAACAAGAGAAATTTGAGAGAGGTCACTTCTTTCACTTATCTAGCTAGGCAGCACAGTTCCAGCCTCAGGTGAAACGGATAGAGATATCGGAGAAGCAGGACGGACATTTATCACTCTGAAATCAGTTTGGAAATATTATGCACTCAGTAGAAAGAACAAGATTTGGATTTTCAACAAAAATGTTAAGTCAGTTAGCGCTTCTATGTGGGTCAGAAACTTCGCATCGACGTCTCACCAAAAGTATTTCCTCCAGGCTACCACAGATTCTTATCAACAGCTGCCTTCACTGGTTCCATAATGAAGATCAAATGACCAGCCGACCAGACAGAGTTAGCAACAAGAACCTCTGGGAATGAACTAATCAAGAACCTACTGTTCAACAAACATGCAGAAGAAAATGGAGGTGGATTAGAAACAAGGTCAGGAGACCGCTGAATGACATCGTACGCCAGGCCGGAGCTCGACTGAAACCCGTATGGTAAACTACAAACGGGACATAGGTCCGATAGTGACATTCAGGAGATCGTGTGAAGAGGGGATGAGAGTTTATGGAAAATCGCCGGCCCAGCTTAAGAGGACAGCAGAGAATAGACAATGAAAACGTGTTGTTAAAGCCGCATGTTCCACTGGAAACTCAAGGTTTCGATATCTCCATCCGTTTCACCTGCGGCTGGAATGGTGCTGCCCAGACAGATAAATGACAGAAGTGATGTCTTTCAAATTTCTCTTGTTGATAATGATTGGTACTCGCGGTTGTTGATGTTGGTTGGTTGTCTTCATCACTGTCTTCTTCATTGTGTTCGTCTGAAGTCCTTATTCGGAGTAATTATGAAAATGACGGTGTTTTATGAAAAAAGAATATGAATAACTTACTTTTAAATATGAACCCACCGCTAAATGAATTCATCTAAAACGTTAATCTAAAGTAGGTCTCATTCAACGAACACTAGATTGGTAGTTTTGTTTTATGTGGTTAATCTAATGCAACTTAGAAAGGAAAGCACTTAGAAATTAAGTGAGGAACTCTTAAAACGTCTGAATTAGCTGAAAGCAAATTTCAACTCAGATGTAGATAGCAACGTCATGGGGTATAATAGAAGCGGCGATAGAGTCCTATGCTGAGATTAGTTTCTAGTCAAAAGTCTTTAACTTGATAGACTCAATGTCTTTCGGATTAACCAAATGGGTGACTGGATAAAGACGAAAACCTTGTTATTAAATGGGTTAGTCTTTAAAATACAGCGCTTACAATGTAGACGCCGCTACTATAAATCTAGGACCATATTTATATTTCACCGTCAGTCATTACCAACCCCATTATTATTAGTCTGTAAATCAAAAGCCAGCCAACTGGTCTAGCTATGCTGTTTAATTCCACCTATTAGGTCATAGGTTCAAACTCTCTTCCGTCTACCGAGATCTCTTCAGCCAGGTAGTGCCCCTAGCTCTTACACATAAAGTATCGTTTCTTTTCTATTGCATGGAATCGTAAGCACCTGTTAAAAGTAGCACTTCTTACACTTTTTTCAAGTAGTTCCATCATCAATAAATAGCATGAAAGATCATTTCTCCGTAAGACAACTATAAGGATTTTGACATTTAGAGGTAACCACTTCTAATTTGGCAGTCAACCGATATGGCAGCTGACTGTGGAACGAATTTGGTTGTAGACCCTTTCAAGTAGTGAGAAAAGGTGAATGGTTTCCGCCTTCAAGACGATTCATTGTCAGTGTTTGTGATGGTTACACAAGCCAGAGTGTTATGTCGACAATCACTGTGAGCAGCGTAACACTTTCCTCTAAGTTGCCTAAATTAAAAGGTTATTTAGATTCAGTGATGATAAATCTAAAACCAACAACATTTAATTAAGAATTATCGACTTAGCTCTGAATAGATCAATGTTACACGTATATTTTTGAACTAGCTTTTAGAATGACACCTAAAATATTCCTACTTGCTCAAGAAAATGTATTACAAATTAAGATATAACTTTCTAATCATTTTGTCTTATTATTATATTATTATTGTATCCTTTAGTTCCTAGAGGAACATAGGGCTTCAGCTGCGCACCTCCATTGACTTCGGTTTTCTGACAACTTTTTCACCCTGCTCCAGGTCTGCCCACATGCTTTCATCTCCTCTTCACATGACCTCCTCCAAGTCACCCTTGGACGACCAACTCGCCGCCTCCCTTTCGGGTTCCACTCGAGGGCTTGTCTAGTGATGTCACTTGATGGTTTCCTCAGCGTATGGCCAATCCATCTCCATTTCTTTCTGCCTATTTGTTTCACAATCGGTTCCTGATTGGTTCGCTCCCAGAGATCCCTGTTGCTGATCTTTTCTGGCCATCTGATCTTGAGTATTGAGCGGAGACAGTTGTTAATGAAGGTTTGAAGTTTGTTTGAGATGCTCTTTATGACTCGCCAAGTCTCTGATCCGTATAGTAGCACTGACTTCACATTGGAGTTGAAAATCCGGATCTTATTTTTGATGCTGAGTGCTGTTGACCTCCACACAGATTTGAGAGTAATGAAAGCTTGTCTTGCTTTTCCGATTCTGGCTTTGATGTCTTCGTCAATTCCGCCTGTAGTTGAGACGATGCTTCCCAGGTAGGTGAAGGAGGTTTTTTCTTTCAGGTTCTTCCCATTTATGCTTATTGTGGTCTGTTGTTGCTGTTGATGTTGGCAAGGAATCTTCATCATCTCTGTTTTATCTATGTTCACGTGAAGTCCTATCTTTGATGCTTCTTCTGCCAACTTGTTACTTTTCATTTGCATATCTTCCAGTTTATGGGAAATCAGACATATATCATCGGCGAAATCCAGATCCTCCAAGTCTTTTGTGTCAGTCCATTTTATGCCTGTTCCCTCGTTGGTTGCCGTTGTCTGTCGCATTATCCAATCAATTGCAATCAGGAAGATCATTGGTGATAGTAGACAGCCTTGCCTCACTCCCGTCCTCACTTCGAAGGCTTCCGTAAGTTTCCCGTTGTGGATTACTTGGCATGCAGCATTGTCGTATAACTGTTGGATGAGGTGTATAATTGTCAATGGGACCCCGTAGTAGCGAAGTAGTTTCCAAATGACCTCTCGATCGACGCTGTCGAAGGCCTTTTCAAAGTCGATGAAGTTGAGATAGAGAGGTGACTGCCATTCCAAGCTTTGTTCAATGATGATCCGTAGAGTGGCGATTTGATCAATACATGATTTGTTTCTCCTGAATCCAGCCTGTTCCGGACGAAGTTTTTCATCTAGGGCTTGTTTGATTCTCTCCAGGATGATGCGACTTAGTATCTTGCTTGGAATGGACAGAAGCATAATTCCACGCCAGGTTTTACATTGACTTAAGTCTCCTTTCTTTGGAAGTTTGAATAAGTAACTGTTCTTCCAATCCTCGGGTACTTTGCCCTCTTTCCACACCTTCTCCAGTAGTGGTGTCATCAAGTCCGCTGTTGTCTCTGGGTCTATTTTCAAAGCCTCTGCTGGGATTCCATCTGGTCCCGGTGTTTTCCCAGTTTTAAGCATCTTGATTGCATTCAGGACTTCTGATTTCGTCGGGGGGTCAGTGTTCACTGGTAGTTCTGCTTCCGTTGTTGGTATTGCTGGACGTGTTGTAGGTGGCGGACGATTTAGAAGTCTTTTGAAGTGTTCAACCCAGTGCTTTCTCTGTTCCACCTCTTTGGTGATTGACTTTCCATTGTCGTCCTTTATTGGCTTAATCTGTGTCGAACGTTTGCCCGATAGGTGCCTAGTTGTTTGGTAGAGTGTGGCGAGGTCTCCTTTGCCTGCAGCTTGTTCTGCTTCGTTTGCCATGGTTTCATAATATTTTCTTTTGTCTTCCCTGGCGCTTTTCTTCACTCTTTTGTTCAGTGTATTGTAGCTTGCATTCATCTCCTGTTTTTGTTGCTCGTCCGTGCACTGGATAATCTTTTGCTTCACTGTCCTTCTCTCTTCTATTAGTTTCCAAGTGTCCATAGTGAGCCACTGTTTGTCCTGTCTCTTTTTTCTGCCTAGAATTTCTATGCAGGTTTGGCTCCACACCGTTTTCAAGTTGTTCCAGTGCTTTTCAACGCCGACCTCTTCGCTAGTGTTGATTTGTGTCTCGACTTTGTCCTTTATGCTTGCAATGAAGATGTCCTTTGTAGCCTGGTCCTTCAGCTTTTGAGTGTTGAACTTGGCTTGTGGTCTATCTGCAGCTCATTTTGTCTTACGATTATTTAAATACAAATCAGTGAAGTATGAATTGTCTGACTGACGAGTCCACTAAAAAATTTAACATTGAACATGTGTTTTGTTTTAAATTACTGCTAAATCTTACTTGTACACCTTGATTTAATCCACATGAAAGAATAAGATTATGATGAAATGCACTCCAATCGACTGAGTAAATTGGACCAACTTGACGAGCTAATGAAAATTTAACCGGTGATTGTTTATACTCGTTAACAGATTCTTCTAGAATAGAAATAAATAATGATCGTTAAAGTATTTTATAGAAGAATAACTCAATTATATGCCTATATGAAAACTTTTGGTTATGACTATTAAATGGTAGACCTAAATACTGGTTAGTAATTCTGATGATTTCCAAGGGTGGATTTGTATGGATTTGATTGATTTAAGGTTTGAACGCACAAGGGACTTCTTTTGGAGAACTACTGGACAGCTGTTTCATGCAAGTGTGGTGAGAGCAGGCCGTGAGAAAATATGAGCAAGGCTGATTCAACAACCAATCACAGCAAAGTTAACGTGGCAAAATATGATTCGCAGATAGAGAACTCTATTTGTCGAGGAATCCCGAAACAACCAATCAGAAGCCTGCGTTTGTCTGCCTAACTTCTGATAAACAACCAATCAGATGACTGCGCTTGTCTACTTGCATAAGCTATAATAATGTATGTGAAATATGTATAAATACGTGTTGATTTTCATAATAAAACGATCTGTTGCCTGGCCCTTGTCTTCTGTTGTTACACAAGTTTAGGACTTGTCACAGTACGAACTCACTGGGTTTCGAATCGAGGATTTTCCTGTTACAAGGCAAGCTGGCTCAAATACCATTCAGCCACTGGGACCCAATTTTGATGGCTTCAACAACTTCGTGATTTTAACACAACTGGCAGCAACCAGTGTCATCGCTGGAGGATATTTGCCATCACTCCCGACCAGGTGGACGTCACTGGTTTTCAGTGGTTCTGTAACTGATTTCAATCTGTGGTCACACGTAAAACAAATCAAATCCTCCAATTTAAATTGTATCTTACAAGAGTTTAACAATTGTCACTCTTCATTTAATCAGAGATTCCATCTGTGGACGTTGAGTCGACAAAAAGAGATGATGGGACTCCACAGAAAACTACCAAGGAATGACCAACTGACAAACTTTTATATTTGGCAACCTGTCAGTGGGAAAAGAGCTCTAATCACCTGACTGGGCCACCATATCTGGGGAATTCGCAACATTGCTTAGAAAAAGAGCTATTATCTTCCAAAAGTATCCTGCCTCCAAATGGATACCTGATACCTTTCGTGGAGAGGAACTTGAGATCAAAGCCAAAAAGACAAAAATACACTTCAGTACCAAAGAAATTACTGTATATAAATCTAGAATTCATGAGAGGCTTATAGGTAGATATCCTAAAGAGAGGAATCCTCAGTTCCTAAAAGAAGACTTTTCCTGAAGCAATTCTGGAAATGGTATTCTTTAGTCACCCACTGCTTCTAAGCAGTGTGAAAGACAAACTCCCACATTTTATCCCTACAGTGTGCACATGTCAGTTCATCTGCTTTAGAGGAGCTGGGCACACAGGTCGTCCTATATGTTTCCTTTCAAAACATGCTAGAAAGCACTGTGCAGCCTGGCTACAAAGAAGAAGCACTGATTCACAACCAAAAGCTTTATAACTGAACACTGTCAGCATACTTGTCGCAGTATCTCAGCTGCCTCATCATTCAGAGTCACTTACAGAGTAAGCGAGTATCTGTCAAAGGCAGTGTGTTTCCAACATCCCTGTATTTTAGAGGACTTTGTTATAAGTAATGATTAGCCAGAACTAAGTGTTCAAAAGGAACTAGTTCCACCACTGCATTTGCCATGACTCTTTTGCCATATGACTCTTTAGTTTGAAGTCAGGTGAGAGGTGGATCACGGAAATTCGACATCTAAACAAGGTAGTGACATTTTATTTGAGATATTCTTGAATAAATTCTTCAAAAAGCTGTGGATCTGAAAGGAAATGCCCAATATTCTTCAATTTCTTCAATCCCAAATTAGATGATCATTTAAGTAATGTAACTTGCCTAAAATAAAAACACTTCAATTTTTGTACAAAGTAGTATATAATCCGAGCAATGTGAAGAACTTCTATGAGATGTCTGTCCTTTACAGTATGAAACAGTTTTTACACTGTCCTTAAGAAGTCTGTAAAGATGAAACTAACTTGATAGACAAGACAGAAACATGAACTGATGTATACTCCTTCAAGTCAAGAAATACACAATGGAAATGCAGAACATCTAATTCGACAAGGAACTTCCACCAAATTAGGACAAGGATTGACGAAAAATATAACTCGATATATTTGTTAAACCTTAACTGTTTTCCATCTACTTTCAACAGCCCTAAACCATTAAATATTGAGGAGACGTCTGTAACACTTCAAGGATTTCAACAACGCTATCTACACAGTCGATACTATTATGGTGAAAGCCGTCTGAAAGCCAAAATTGGTAGACAGCAATTTACTTAAATGTTTACTTTCCATATCTTGCTCATAAGACAAAAAGAACAACAAAGACTAACTCAACAACAAATCACAGCAAACTTTGAGTGAGCGGATACGAATCGCAGATATATGGTCTGACCTTCGAAGAAATAGCCACGAAAAATAACAGAATAACTTTTAGCGAAAAAACAACCAATCAGAAGACGGTGTCTCTCTGCTAATAATAACGAAAAATAATGTACATAAAAACATGCAAATATATCTTGATTTTCTCATTAAATGATGTTACCTGGCCCTTGTATTCTGAGCTGATGGAATAGCACTCACTAATATTAATATTAGTAATAATGGCAATGGCAATTCATCTGCTAAATCCTGAACTCTGCATACAAAAGAAACTCGTTCATTCATTAAATCTACAATGGACGTAATCTTTCTTAATTTCAGTCTTACTAATTGTATTATTTTGTCTTTTGCATTTTATTATTTCACATCTTCATTTATATTATTCTCTACCCCACCCTTATTTAATCTCTATCCTCATTAACAATGTTGTTAACTTGACCCACGTCCAATTTCTAGTCAACTATGTTACGTCATCCGATTAACTTACTTATTTTCAACTGTATTATTCTCTAAACCCACCCTTATTTAATTTTAACCACTGACCTGACCTACTCTGAATTCTACTCAACTGTATTACGTCATCCAATTCACTTAATCAATTCTATTTTATTTTCTATCTTAACGTTTGTCTCCAAGCCAAATAATACTTATATTACATAATTATCTAGACTTTATAAATCTAATGTGCACACACACACAAACAAAATTGTATATATATGCGATTGTACAGCTCAGTGAATGAATTCGCCGAAAAGAGTCTCTTCGCTGAACGCCTTCTTTTCTTTTATTAGTAATAATGTTTAAAGAAATCACGTGAGATGGTATCCTATCAACTTACGGTGATTTGTATCCCAGTTAACAGAATCCATTTCGCATATTAGTAAACCTCCAACTTCAGTACCCACAATAAATTTATCTGGATTATTTTTGGATATAGATAGACAAGTAATATTTACAGATCTTTCATTATTTAGATCTGATAAATTCGATCGAAGAGTTGAATGGTTCAATGAATTTGAATAACTGTACATTGGTAGAGATGTTTGATCTTTATTTCTTATCTGAAAACTTGAAGTATGCAAAAATATAAACATTTACTTAACAACTAAATCAATTGTTACATTCATTTGTGTTATATTCATAGTTTTTTTTAATAGAATGTAATGCTTTTAGTCAAGAAAGCTTTCTGAAGGATTCTAGAAGCATCCTTCTATCAGAAAAATCTTCTACTGTGCTGCCAATTTACGAAAGTGAGGAGAGATAGGTTGCTAGTGAAAGGTTTTGTCTGATTCATGGTATTTGCTGAAAAATTGTAAGTTCTCTGGGTAGTTATCTTATCCTTGAACTAGCAACTAATGTGAAGATTTGTTTAAACGCAGTATGAATCTCACCAGTGAAAATAGTCAGATGTTATATAGTATATAGCTGTATAGTACGTTTAACGTGTAATTACATGTAATTCTGACTAGCATTGAGACAGTTTTATCTGGCATGTAAAACCTTAGAAGTGCTGATATTATTCTATAATCATATCATGATATGATTATGAGCAATCAATTGTACTCGAAACGTGGTCATCAGTAAACATTACTGTATAACTGTGTGAGACTTTATCAAAATAAAATTTACCCATAATGGAATTACACTCTACCATAGTGCACAAGTTTTATTCTAATATCAGTGCTGATATTACATGGAGTCTTATAATTTGATACAGTTATTCTCTTATAATGTTATGATAACAGTTCGTGGAAAGTGTTTATTTACAAAATCCAGTCGTAACTTCTTCTAAAGATGAAATGCTGAACAAGTGAATTGTGTCAGTTTACTTTAGCAGAGATCGATGATAAATATTCAGAGATTTTATACATGGATCTCAATTTCAAACTGATAACTAAGATCTAGTGACTAGGAGAACAACATTTTTTTCACTCAGGAAGTTTTACTACAAACAATTTAATAATCGATGAATTGTATTCTTTAAAAACAAAGTAAATTATGGATTTTTGAGTAATTAGTATTAGTGTGACCTGTGCTACTGATAAGATTCATCAGTAGTGTATAAAGACATGTTCCTCGTCATAAAAATGTCAATTAGCGAAGAGATAAATTTGACGTCAAAGACAGGAAATGGACCAGAGTTGCGCAAATTATTGGAGACACCAAGAGAAGACAAAGAAAAACAGTATGAAGGGCAGAAGTGGCAGAACACGGAAGATCTGTGCAAATAACAATTTTGATGTCTCTGTTGAGGCTTTCGATGTTCTCAACAGCTGTCTGATCACCTTTGCTAGCCCACCAACATCCATAGGTTGTTCAGAACTATGGGTTTGTAGTTGCTGAGACACTTCTGATGAACCTGGAAGTCAGTAACTGCGACTCCGACTTTTCGTCCACTTTGGGAAGGGCGCAACGTAGTAGATTCATCAGTTTCACCGCCAACACTAACGGGTCTGCGTCAGCACATAGCTTCGTGGCAGGGAACTGCTGCACCACCAGCTGCCTGTCCGTCAGGCTGTCGAACTCCACCACCAGTCCTCAAATCAATACCTTCCGGGTCTCTTTCTCAACTAACCGCTCCACAGTGTCGTATGCCACCTGTTCCCAAACTCTCAGCTGCGTCCCCCTAACACAAGTGCCTTCACCGTTGTACCCTTGACGTCTAACAAACCCAATGACCGCCTAAAAGTAAATCAAGAAGCTCCGCATGTCTCCTGCCTCGAAAGCAGCCGGCCATAGAATCTTCATTGTCTGAAGGTAGTGATACCAATTGTAATAGTGGGAGACAATAGACTTGGTGACGGAATTTTTATTCGGAATTCGGTATTTCTACATAGCAAAATTATGTACACCATATCTTAAAATCGTTATTTGCACAGATCCTCCGTGTTCTGCTACTTCTGTCCTTCATATTGTGTTCTTTTTTCTTCTACCGGTGTCTCCCATTCTTTGCCGCAACTCTGGTTCATTTCCTGTCTTTGACGTCAAATTTATCTCTCCGCTAATTGATATTTTTCTGATAATGAACGTGTCTCTAAACATGACTGATAAATCTTATTAGTAGCACACGCCTTAGTAGTAACTAGCCTTCTATCAATTCCCAATATAGCTCAACCACTATCGGCGAGTATTTGTTCTCTCACCCGACCTCCTGTACGTCACTGGTCCCAAACTAGGATGAAACAGCTATCCAGTACTTCCGGGCTTTCCAATGGTTCTCTAACCCATGTCAGCTCAATGATGAAATCCTGAAACAGTCAAATCCCTGAAAACCAACACTCGAATTTATAACTTTGTTTGATCAAGTGAGTAACTTTCGGTATTGTATAGCTATCAGACAACATTGTAGAGGTATCCGTGCATCTTTTGAATAGTATCACAGATTCTATCACTTAGACTGTATTTGTGGATATTATTAGAATAATTATGAACCATATGTATGACTCACAGAAGTTCAGTGAGCCATCCAGAAGACTGCATCGAATGATTCCTGAGTTCAGACTAAAATACTTGAATTTTGGTCGTCACAATGACTGAGTAAATAAAAAGGTACGTGAGTGATTATTTAAGACCTGAAAGCACAGTTAAAAAACAGAATTCATATTGAAATACTGGGATTTTCAGCAATTACCCTTTTTTATTCCTTTACGTTCCCAGTGGAACATGGGGCTTCAAGCTAGAGGCTTGAAGTTTTGGTAACAGCGATGATTCTATTTTTACAGGCTGGGGATGCTAGCCAGTCTTAAACCCAACCTCCCCTCTTTACCAGTCTTATTATTGGCTTAGCAAGCCAGGTAAAGGTGTGCGTCAGTGACCAAGGAACGAATCCCGTACACTATATGTAAACAAAAATAAAATAAATGGAGATAAAATGTAATAGAAGACTTATTGAACTAGTGAGTGGCTTACATTTTAATACAATTTATTTTTTCTGGAGGATGCAGATCAATCTGCCAACATATAATCCTTCCATCACTACCAGCTGTAAGTAATCGATAACTTTTGATGTGAATATTTTTCATATTGTTTAAGTTTAAACTTTGAAAATCTGATTGTAGATAATTTGATATCCATTCAATTTGATTAATACAATCTTTATGACCAATTTCTGTGGTACCTTCAGTATTAGTTAGCATATAATCATTTCCACGTGAAAGATCCCAGATCACTACATTACCTAAAATAGATAGAAAGATAATATATAACCGACTGACGATATTGAAATATTTTGTTCTTATGAGTCAAATAGATAAGGGAAATTCTCTCTGCTTATTAATTCTACCTTTTTCCATAAAAGTACAATTCAGGGAAATAAAAAATAAGTCTGTGTAGGTGAAAATTCTTCATAATAAACGTCTCCTTGTGCTGTTTACAGGCGAAAATCTCGAAGCAAGCGTCCATACACTAATTTTTGAATATTTAGCAAGTAATTACTGAACTGTCACTTATATGGATGTCATCAGCTAATCAGTAATAAACATTAGTGACAGATACTTACAATTTAAAAAGAAGTATAATCTAAAGGATCTGAAAATGAGTTGTGCATAAAACTTACTATTTGTAGTTGACTAAAACGCAAATGGCTTTTGTTATGTTTGCGTTACTTCAGCTGGAAAGTTCATGTACAAGGCTGAGAATTAAAGACTCAAGATGTCTAGAAGAATAAGGAAAGCTTCGTAGGTAATTCATCTAACTCTGAGAATAAAACAACATCATATAGGGTATTTTTAAAGGGCTGACTTCACGCTCCATACTGAAGTTCAACTAACAGGGCAGAAAGGATAAGTAATAAGGGACTTTGGAAATAAACTAACCGAGAACCTTTAGCTTAATAAATACGCAGAATTACATGGTGAATTCGACGTGTTCTGAGTATACCGCTGGGTGACATCATGCTCCAGATGGAAAGCAGTGGGTTGGGTGTCTGAGGGTGAGATGGAGGAGACTGTTTTGAAGAGAAAATGAAAGCTGACAGACAATTATGGAATCAACTAGAAAGGACTGTAGACAACAGAGTAAAATGGTGATGCGCTTTTGAAGCCTTGTGTTCCACTTTGGACCCATGGTAGTAAAGATATTTGAATGGCAGCATGGACGTGTAATCTACGTAGACAACAAACCCTGTGTATTTATGTTAGGGAAAGCAAGTAATAATCAGGCGATCTAATCTACTCATGAAATGTTTATGTCGGTAATAGAATCTGGATCAAAACACACGAGCTATCCTCATCACCCTAATCTATGAGCATTACAATAATTTACAAAATATGTAGCAAAATTTTAAATAAGATGAAACTAAAAGGTGCGCCAAGAGAATAAGGACGTTGCAACATTTGTCTAGCAACGAGATTATCATTTTTGATCGAACACTAACTAATGTCATGGGTCTAGGCTTTTGTTTGGTGCATACTGAACTCTATCAGTTAAGTTTTAAATATGGCCACTACCTCACATTGTTCACCACTGTGGTACACCTTGAATTGTTATACCCTAATCTTAAAAGGAAATGAGCTCCATCAAGACTGCAAATACGCTTTGCTGACGGCAAACTTGAGGAGAATCGAGCTCCTTTTTCTATTGATAATTTTGAAGGATTTCTTGATTTCTACCTCATGATCTGTGTCGAGGAGATGTCTGGTAATAGCGCTACTATAACAGTTTGTTCCTTTGAAACGTAGGCTTTTCGGCACATGTTCAGAAAATCGAAGGTGTGCCCTTCTTTCTGTTCTCCCAATGTAACTGCTCCGGCAGATACACGTAAATTTGTATACACAGTTGGAGTTAACAAGAGAAGGGTATCTATCGACTTTTGACTGCACCAAAGAGTATGTTGTTCGATGGACGGGAACCAACTTAGCTGAAGGATAGGCTCTGGCTAGTGATGTTCTCAGTCTTCTGTTGATCATTTCTGCAATGTTTTCACCTTTAAAATCTATTTGAATGAAGACAGGCATTTTTTCAACTGTCAATTGTTTGGTATTTGAGCCTTCACATCTTTCATATTTGGTAATGAATCTTTGAGGATAACCACTGTTTTTCAGCACCTTTTCGAGAATCGTAAATTCTTCCTCTAGTTTCTCTGAAAAGCATATTCTCCTCGCTCTATAGTACAGAGTCTTGACTAGTGCTTGTTTATAGCTATTTGGACAAAAACTATTAAAATGTAAGTATTGTCCATTGTATGTGGGCTTTCGGTTGATTGACCTCTGGAGACTACCATCTTCTAGGTGTTGTATGGCAACGCCAAGGAAGCTGTAATTTCGCTTGTCTTTTGTTTCTATGATTTGAGTTCAACTCAGTACATTGTTACCTAACTTATTAGTAACTATGCATCTAACGCACATGTCATCTTTATTACGAAACTCCTTTACCATTGTATGTATACATTTATTTTGTTTAAACTTGAACTACTTGTGTAAAAACTTTATAAGCGCAATTTTCTGAGCACTGTTTACTATTTGTGAAACTTTCTGTCAACTGACAACATGTAAAAATTTGCAAGTATGTTAAAACGTTTCTGTACTTAAACCTCATAATTTATTTAGGCTGAAGGTACGCAGCTAGCTGATGAAAAGCCAACGAAATAAATGATGGTATCATTTAAATATTCTGCACAAACCACTGTTGTTCTTGCTTTGTTCAAATTCATCAAGGGGAATAAATGCAAAAGGTTTCGTGGTTTGACCATAATAATATCATGTCAATATTAGCAAAGAGTAGAATTCAGGATCTTCAACTTAAGTGACTGTTATATCCAAATTCTAGTTCGTAGGTTGGAATCTAGTGGATTATACATTCTAATTTCTTCGAATTGTGAAATTTTAGCATGAATTTTCTACAAATTCATCACATGTTTTGCCGTCACAAAGTGAACTGAATCACTTTAAAACCACTTTTTGATAATTTGTTATTATACTGGCAATGAAATATAATCTATAAAAAAAGCAAGTATTTATCAAATAGAATATATTGCATGAATACAAAAAGTGGGTAGTATGACTAATTTATTGACCGGTTCAGAAACACAAATGTTCCCATGGTTAGTCAGAACACTGAGATTTCACATATGAAAAAGTTTTATATGACTGACAAGACATGGAGCCAGAGTATAGAATACAATGCGGGCGCGCTGCTGAATTCTTAGCCTCCACTTGGAACCCAAGGAAAGAATTATAATAATGATAATAATTCAAATATATGTTTATATATATCCGCTAACCTGTATATGTTCCACCAGCTAACAAAGATGGAATTGTTGGATGACATTTAATACACATTAAACAACTATTTGTTGTATATTTGTGCTTGGGATTATTCGACTCCAATGTACTACTTGTTACATTCCAAAGTGCTGCATAACCAACATGTGTACACCAGTCAGTATGACATATTGATCCATAACTAAAATGTGTATTTCCTGTTAAGGTTTGCAACGCTAGACATTATATGATAAGATTCACTGATGAATGCCTAAAGATGAAAGAATCTAAATCTCTAAAGTGATAAGATGATTAGCCACTTGATAGCAGCCAACTACTTTAGTGACTGGAGTTCTATAAACACCAAGATCTTGACTTTAATACTACCAACTGTCCATGAAATAATGTGTACGATATAAACCTATTGTATAAAAGATTACTTTTGGAATAAGAATTTTGTGGGTACCGTCTGAGGAATCAGGCTTCCTGCAGAATCACAATAGAATTATAAACATTTATGATTAGATTAAATTGAACCGTAGCATTGTACCACTCAGCTTATTTAACTAGATTGTGCTCTTGACTAAAAGGTTTCAATCAAACTGTTGTTGATTGTTATAAAACCTGATTTATTAACAAGTAGCACCCACAAATTATTAAACAACATATATTAAGATATTAAATTCACGAGAGAAGAAGAATTAGACAACAGAATTCCATTCTTAGATGTCGAAATTAAGAGAACTTACAGAGGAAGTTGTGAAACACAAGTATGTTGAAAATCAACTCACGCAGAAATGAAATGCTCAACTATAATAGCAAGAACCCAATGACTCACAAAAGAAACTGCACGCAGATATTGTTTAAACAGTCCAGACACACTGTAAGATTCATCTGCTGAAGAGACTGGAAGAGAAATACCTACGAAATGTTTTCAAAAAGTGTTTAAAGTCAAATCAAAATACCACCAAAAAAGCATCGTCAATGACTGCGAAAAAAAAACCAATTCTACTGCATATAGAGAATGTCTCAGAAATGACGGTTAGAATACTTAGTTCCTTTGAATCAAACATAGCACACAAGCCAGCACATATACTTCATTCGATATTGTGCAAACTAAAGGATCGAATGGTAAAAGAAGATAAGATTGATATTATTTACCAATGTAAGTCGCATGAACAATGACAAATATTACACTGTTCATTATGGACGTCCACTTGAATCTGAGTCCAAGACCTTAGATTAGCTGTGAAGAGCCAAGACATGTAATCTTTCATATCGATGCATGTAAATAGTTACGGATACCAATTTGATTGGGAAAATGTAGAAATCCTAATTGGAGGAAACACTAAAAATATCAAGGAATTTCTAGAAGCCTGGTACTCAGAAGAATCAGCAAGTAGCAGGCATATTAACACAGCCCACATTTATCAACTAATAAAAAGAAAATTCAAATCCCAAGTGAATAAAAGTGATCAACAAAGACGAAAATTAACAACCACTTACTAGATTAGTTGTCAGGAGATACAATTGTGTTATACATAAAGAATTCAAATAAGTTTATTCCATACCAAAACCTGCGCTGAACATATTTTATTTTTTTGATTATAGCTTGATTCCACACTGTATTTTTGGTACAAGTATGGAATTTTCAGCGTGGATATCGGTAGCCCAAAATTCGCAGGCCGACCATGGATATCAGGTGTGCGTCGGTGTGGGCTCAAACCACGGACCATGTGCATGGTCGGCGAGAGTCCTAACCACTGTGCCACCGATAAAGAAAGTATCGCAATTGATTCGACCAACTCAGAGAACACACAAGTGAATTAAAATAATCCATCTGAGCTACAAATATCCTAAAGCCAGTACCCAAATGATTCAATAGCAGAATGCTCGCAGACACACATGACTTCTGGGTTCGATTTCAGGCCAACTCACTTCTAAACCTTCAGAGAAAAGTTTGGGCATGATGCCAGCAGCCTCACCCCTGTAAACATAACACAGATGCTATTGAATCCTCAAAACTTAAAACCTCAGTGTTCCACTCAGAACACAATATGGATGCTTTCATAACTTGAACGGTTAGAATACAACATTTAACTATCTTTTCTAGTATTTAAACAAATATCTTTTTTTACCACTCTTAACTAAAATTATTAATTACTCAAATCATCAATGCAAAGGATACGATATTGCCAGCAATGCTCCAGTTGAATTCCACGACAGTCCTGTAACAGATAACTATACATTTTAAATGTAGGGTTATCCAAAAGTAAACAAACCCTACCTTGTCTTCTTTAGCTTTATCCAGTATAAGTAAATATTTTTCCAACGCATCAACCCTATTGAATATTTTTCTTGATTCCAATCGTTTAAATGCCTTAGAAGTTATATTGTTTTGGATTTCTTTTGTCATGATTGGTTCGATGCGTTTCAGGAAGTTAATTAATTTTGTTTCTTTGGTACGCTGAGTTTTAGAGTCGTTTTTATTGTCAGTATTATTTAATTCTTCATCTTGATGAAGCCAGTCTGTTTGAATCTAAACAAATACATGCGTTGTGTTTTTATAATTAGAAAATAGTTACCTCTTGAGTTTTATATCGTTTCGATTGTATACCACGATGATAAATCTTGTATGGTTCACTTTGCATTTGTGCTTCAACAAAGGATCTATAATAAAAAAATTTCGGTGAATGGAAAACAATCTCTACAACTATTCTAAAAAAACAGCTATAAGGTAAATCGATGCACTTTCAAGAGTTTGTTTGTAGGGAATCGACTTTTTTCAATTTGATTCGAATTGATATTAGTTAGAGGACCTTAGGAAACCAGGGAGAATTGAGAAGCTGTTCAGGACTCATTAGAAGTACGCAGCTACCGGTTTTAGAACCCATAATCTTCTAGGTCGAAGGTAAGTTTGTAGACTATTCGGCCACTGTGAACCAATCTAATGGCCTGTGAATTATTAATTCTATCAATTCGTGATTAAACTGATATCATTCTGTGGTCATACTTGAAACAATTCAAGTCTAAACGAACCAACTCTTGAAAACTAATCAGATGCTTGTTGATAACCGGCTACAGGACGACGAATTTGTCTGCACTTCTACTGCGAAGTCAGGACTAGTGGGGCCCATCCGGTCGGCAGTGAAAACAATCACATGCCTATGACATTGGCTGGTTTTTTCATTCACGTTCCCAGTGGAATATAGTTTCTGTAGCAGTGTTTATCTTCACAGGATGGGGTTGCTAGCCTCATGCCCAAACTTTCCTCTCTACCAGTCTTATTACTGGTCTAGCGAGTTAAGGGAGTGTGACGGCCGGGGGTTGAACCCCGGACCATCCGCATGGTCAGCGAGCATCCTAACAGTTGCGCCACCGACTGGTGGTGGTGCTGAAATGTCAAACTGGGGGAAGTTAGAATCCACAGAGCATTGGATAGCAGCACCGTGACCAAATGGTCTACGAGCTTACCTTGTAACCAGAAGGTCCTGGCTTTGAACCCTGACTGTGGAAGCCTACTTTCGCTGAGTCAAAAACTAGTGGGAAGCAGCTGTTCTGTATTCCCTGGTGTTCGGTGCTTCTCTAACTAGTGAAACTTGGAACAAATCGATTAATATCATATGGATTGATATTTCTTACTTCTTTGATGTTTTGAATGCGATTCTTAGCAATCTCTTTTTTTTCCATTGCTTTGCATTCCAAATGGAATATTAGGCTTCAGGCTTCTAGCTTCTAAGTTCCTGTGACAGCAGTATGATTTTTATGGGGTAGGATTGCTAACCTTCTCTTCTTTTCTGACTTACTACCGACTAGGCTAGATTGGTTGGAAATCGAACCAGTACCATGTGCGTCGTTGACAAGCAATGTAATACTAAACCACCTACGAAGAAGAGTTACTCACAACTTAATATTTAACGAATGCAATGGACAAATTGTTTCAAGCGTAGTTTCATCCAAATAATAGCGTTTTACCCACAAGTATTAAATTGATGGTCACTGGTAAGAATTACTCTGTAAGTGACTCATTAGTGCCACTTATTATCGACAGAATGAGAAGCAAAAACGTAAGTGCCCTATAAGTTACCATCCATTTCGAATATTTAGAGCTTTTGTTAATATACAGCTATACGACAATTACGGATGTTTTCACCAAAAGGTAGGCAGCATGTCACATTTTCCAGTGATGAACTTAATGTCACAATTCTTCTCAGTTGAAACTGACTGGATAAATCTTCGAACTTTTAGTTTCTAGATAAGCTTATGCTAGTAGACTCCCCCCGTTTTCACCTAAGGTGAACACTTTTATTTATGTAAAAAGAATGTTGTCAATGAGCATAATAATTACTAGTTCAATGATTTGTCCTTTTAGCTGTGCCCACGGATGTTATGTGTCATTCACATGAATGAACGTAGTGAAATAATGACTTGATTAGCATCTGGCTTCCTCAAACCAGCTGATGGAAGACTAGGACAGGGATCCGGAAGTCTCCAGTCCTGATACTATGAACATTTAGTACTAGTTAGATTAGCAAATAATAACTCAGGTATGTTGCATATGCAAGTGGTGTTAAAAATTCCAGGAATGCTTCCACTCCCCAAAAGTAAATTGACGTAGGCACAGACAACATAACTGGTCGAAAAGAAACAGATGGATTGATGCATGGCCAACTGAGGTACTCCCTATTCAACTTTTGAAATAAAAGTTAAACCTGTAGAAAGTACCAGATATAATTTAACTGTATTAAAATTTGCTATAAGCAGATGTTGGTGACTGCAGAATTAAACTTTCCGTAGGCATCTCATCCAAGATTTTCTTCAATTGTAGTTGATTTCATCTTGATAAGTGAAAGTCGTCCTGTAATTTTGATAGCTTCTTCACTGTTCAGCCGTATTCTGCTGCTATAATTCTTGCCTTTCTACTCCAGATTTACCAATTAAATGTCAAGTCTTATTACCCTATTTCGGATACTGTATAATTTACTGTTATCGTTTATTTTTATGAATAACACGCCATCATAAAAAGTTAATTGGATTTTCAGTCGGTACCTGTAGTGATTTTATGGGCAAGGAGGTCTCCTACACAATGAAAACACTTTTTCTCAGGCTAACTGGAAATTATAATAACGTAGTCAGCGAATATATTTTTGCCCAGATTATGATAAACTATACTTATCATGTGATAATTTTATCATTGATCACAAACTTGCTTCAATTATAAAACCACTAGATAATAGAAAGTGCTAAATATTTATTTCGTCCTACTTTGGGACTCTTCAATGGTGCTCGCTCATGAACTTCTGGTTATCAGGTGAGCTAGTAGACCATTCAGCAAGTGGTATGAAATTGAGCAATACTAACTCCTGCCAAGTTGTCATATGCAGCACGAGCACAGGGCAATATCATCGGCGAGTATTTGTAGCCATATTTAACTCGGTAGGGGCTAGAGTTGATTGGATTTTGGATTCCTTACAAGTGGCTGAATGATTTATGAGTTCACCTCACAAACTGAAAATCTTGGATTCGATCGATGGTGGGGTCATTAGCGCGTACTATTGAAGGGCCATAAAATAGGTCGAAATAGCTGTCTACTATTCCCTGGTTTGTCAGTGGTTCTCTAACTTAAGTCATTTCACGTTGAATCTTAAAATCAATTAAGTCTGTGAAAATAAACACTTTGATAGATGCTCATACTTAAGACAACTGTCAGAATTTCCTGGGTGAAGACGAATTTGAAGCAGTAACTCACTAGTTGAAAATTGACTTTATAGACGAATAAGCAACAAAATAACCAAACAAGATAATTTATTGACCGTCTGTTACTTACAGATAGAAACTGTCAGACAAACTAAGACTGCATTTCACACAACGTAGAAATGGGTCGAGCTCTTAACGAATTGAGTAAAATTAAACGAGAAAACGACGGACAATAATATGCTAAAACATTTTAAGTGTTACAGAATCATACAGTAACAAATTAAACTAACTTAGAAAAGTGTAAATCACCCCTTGTCATGGGGTAATGCTTACTTATTCCTTGAACTCTTTGAGTCACATTTGATTCCATGAAGAACTTCATCTGTAAATTCGGTAATCATCGTGTAGTCTTGAAATATAAAAAAAATTATTAACTCATAGTTAGTAAATTTTAGAGACTTGGTATAAAAATATTTTAGTCATACATTACATTGACAATATAAGCAACTTTAGTTGGAGGATTTCATCATGACCTGACATTAGTTAGAGAACCATTGGAAAACTAGTAGGGAGTACTGGACAGCTACTTCGTCCTAGTTTAGTACTTTTCATCAGTGCACACCCACCGATGGGGTTCGAATCCAGGACCTTCTGGTTACAGGGCTAGCGGGCTTGTAGACCATTAAGCCACTGGAACCCGATGATGAGATATTCCAACCAGTCAAACAAAAGCCCTACAAAACCAACAATCGATAAGCAACTTTAGTAGAAAAATAGTATTATGAAGCTGTATTTGTTACTTCTCGAATTCAGATAATGTTAAAAAGTTGATAAAAAATCACATCGTTCAGTTACTACGACCAAAAGTGGTCCTCCATATTCACATGGGCGATGGATTCAAAGAACTTTAACACTATTTACATTGTGTTATCAGAAACTCCGGCAAATAATTAACCAGAACCTGTCCCTCAACAAATACACACAAGAAAATAGAGATCGATCGGATATACTTGTAGCGGTAGGTAATTCCACAGAGTCATAAGCCACAGCGTACATCAATAAACATTGGATGCTGACCTTCACTGTTTAAGTCGATTGGTTTGACTGAAGGCTTATGGTCAAGCATCCACGCTATCTGGCACGCCATTGCGTTACATTTGTTCGTTCGTGCATGATCCCTAGCTAGCTAAGCAATCATCCTAGCACTCTTATCTGGAACCGAAATATACTTCGTAATTTGGACGATCAATCTTGGTGTTCTGCCTTGCCTTTAGTCGACGCCGAACAGATACTATAGAAGTTGTGGTTATTAGATTTTTCGGTAGTACAGATAGTACTATCCGTGAAAGTCAACACACTCTAAACACTCTTTGGAGATGAATGAGGGACATTGCACGATAGGCTCCATAGTGGACCTCAAGTGGTAACGACAAGTTGAGTACAGTGGGAGATATGGAGCAAACCGTGAAAAGAGGGAATGAAAGGATACAGTCAGTCATGCAGCTAGCTAAAAAGGGCTGTACAGAACAGAGCAAAATAGAGATATGCTGCTGAATCCCTTTGTTCCTCTCAAAACTAAAGGGATTAGTAATGATATTATTATTATTGTAATAGAATAACATATAATGTTACTAAAGAGTACGAACAACTATACACAGACGAGTGTATTACGTAATACTGAGACTAAGACAGAAAGTCCTAAAGGTTAAGATATCGGCAATTTCATGAAGTTTGTAACTAAATAGTATTATTATTGTAGTGGAAAGTTTACAATTCTTCCAGTACAAATAGTCACTTGATGATGATATGATGTTATATTGGTTTCAGTTTAAAGATATAAATAACCACAATGAAATAAAATTTATAAATAAGTTAAAGGTGAGCTTCTTTTAATTTACTGCTCTTTGTTACCTTTGTTCACAAAGATAAAGACATGTGCCTCTGAAAGCTTTTAACACCTATACATACCCTGTAACATTAGATCTATAACCTAAAGACATTTTAATTTTGGGAACTTTTATTAAATCAAATATTATTTACCGGTTTTTAAGTATTATTTACACTAATGAGATGTTGAAAACAAAGTTAAAGCATAAAGGTTTGGAAAAAGTATCTGACTATGAATGACGTTGATTATATTTTAGTGTTTACTATAAATTGCAAACCTCAGAATAGTCATAATTTGCAATGTGCACCGAAAGTTGAAGGCGTCGAATTTCAAGTTATTGTTACTGAAGCAGCATCTTTCATAAAGCTTAACTGTCATTAACAGGATAGGAATACAAATATGATGGAAATACAAGAGATATGTGTGTGCGATAGGGGTAATAATTTAATGCGGACTACATAGCACTTCTGAAATAAGGCAGATGACAAAGAGGTGTATATATTTGTGCTACAGTGATCGACTTGGAGAAATCCTACCAAGGGTTTTCAAGTATTGTTGCTTGATGTCTCAGTGTACCAAGCCTGGTAAGCAGCTTAAAACAGAAGTTATCAACTTCATGAGTTAGATTGCCATGTTGTAACTACCTCAACCGCTGTAGCTTCTTCACAACTTCATCAAGAGAAGTACATTTTCTTTCGAACTCTGTATGTCCGATTTCAGCATCACAACTATGTCAGTAAATGAACAAAAACACTTCAAACCAAGAATTTTAGGCAACGATGAAAATTTGGTACTAACAATAAGATTTTCACATTATCCTGCATGATTAATGTGTCATTTCTAGTTTACCGTTGCGTTTTGTGCTGTTCAACTAAATTTTAGTAATTTTCCCCAATTATACTTAGTTTTGACTAGCAACAAACAAGTTGAAAATTGCCACAGTGGATTTTAAGAGTAATTCCTCTGAGTTTTCTAGATGTTGTCGTTAGATTAAGCTTTAAGAAATGATATTTGTGTCGCTTCATGGAAATAAAAACAGTTTATTCAATAGTAACATAAGATATACTCTTCTGGATCATGACGCAATCATTTCGATGGACTCATGGTGAAATCGCTTATATATTGTTTGAATCAGCAGATAAGAGCAAAAATAGGACCCTATGACAAGTTTTTAACCAGTTGTCTTAAGAACCCTGTCTTGTTTCATGGAATAGATATGGATAAGGACGCGCGAACTTTGAAAAGGGAGTTAATTTTCACGCTCTTGTTTATAATTGGATTTTGTTGTGTTATACGCTTCAAAAGTCCACAGATTTAACTTTAAATCAGTTTATTCTGATCGAAGTTAGTTTACGTTTCAGATCTGAGTCTATTAATTATAGGAAGTGTTCTTATAACATAATAGCTACATATATCTATCTTTGTACATTCATTAGCTTTTATCACTGATTTACAAAGGTTATATATATATATATGAAGTTGTATTTAACTTTTCCTGGTTTGTTTTAAATAAAATGCCTATCAAAAGAAACCGCTGCGGAAGGGCTATGTGCCAGTTTCCAGTGGATGAGGGAATGCAGTGTGATAACTGCAAGAGATGGTTTCACAGTATGTGCACGAACCTTACTCCAGCAGCATACAAACGCTGCTGCAAACCTCTAGCGAACTGGTTGTGCAACGACTGCTGTAGTACAACTAAACTCCGTATTACAGAAGCCATAGCTACTCTTAGTGGGGCTTTAAAGCTCATGGACTGCAAGCGTCCTCCACCACAGAAGAATACCGACTATTGCTCAGATAGCGATGACGTGACTAGCGTCATTGACAAAACAGCACATGTCCCAGATGCGACCTTGCCAATAAGTGAGTGCTCTACAGCACAGAAGAACACCCACCATATTACAGACACCCAGGTCGCCCCCACGATACTGGATGAGCCCTCCAGTGACAGTAATGGAAAGACTGCCGTGAAGAAGAGGCGTACTAGGGGTCGAAAACCTGCAGCTCCAGTCGCCCAGGGACTGGCGGAACAAGCCTCATCCACACCGGTGAGCAGCAGACAGACGAACCCCACTAAGATTAGCGAGGAGGACGCCAATGAATGGCGCACCGTAGTCTCTCGCAAAAAGCGAGATAAGGATAACACTTCGGCCACACCGCCCAAGAAGGATAGAAACACACTTACGCCTCAGGGCAAGAAAGTCACGGAAAGCAAACCCGATCTCTCTGATAGGTCTCTCATTCTCCACAAAGTGGAGGAGTCACTGGCCCTCGACCCTAAGACCAGATTCGAGCATGACCTTAACTTGGTCAAGCCCCTTTTAGACAAGCTACTGCCACAAACAGTATCAGGCATTACTATACACAGCGTATACAGAATAGGTCAAAAGCCTGACCCTACAGTAAGTGAACCTGTACGTCTCCTCAAAGTCGTACTAAACTCTAAAGCAGAGAGGGACGCTATTCTAAGCAACTCTCATATTCTCAAAGGATCAGGGATATATGTCCGCGCTGACTTAAGCCTAGCAGACCGTGTCAAAAGACAGGCTGCGGCACTAGAATTAAGTGAGCGACGCCGGAACGGTGAGAAGAACCTTAAGATTAAGGGTTTTCGGGTTGTCCGAGTTCGCAGTTTAATGATCCCGAAACCTCTGTGGGTGGGCCGGGGAAGCACCAATCTGAATTAACAGTCTGCTACACAAACGCCCGCAGCCTGTTAAATAAAAGGACTGAGCTGGCAAACATGATAGAAACCGGAAACCCGGATGTAATTATTATCACAGAGACATGGCTCACACCCGATGTCACTGACAACGAAGTTAACCTGCCAAACTTCGAAGTGCACAGGGTAGACCGACTAAACCGCAAAGGAGGGGGCGTAGTCATCTACCTCAAGAAAGGCTTAACCGTGCGTAGTATCGAAGCACTCGCCCACGAAAGTGAGTCGTGCGAACTTCTACGCTGCAGACTTAAATGCATAGGCCAAGACATTGACCTCATTGCTGTGTACCGCAGTCCTGACTGCAGTGCAGACGACTTCCTAATAGAGAAGCTAGGCTCCTGGACTTCAAAATGTCGAAGTCTCGTAGTCGGTGACTTCAACGCCCCAACAGTTGACTGGTCGAGCCTAACAACTCCATCTTCAGTCAACTCCTTTGATCATAAACTGCTAGAATCTAGTATATCGCTAGCCCTAGTCCAACATATCATTAAGCCCACGCGCTATGACTCACAGCACTCCTCATCAACTCTGGACCTAGTGTTCTCACACGGTGAGGATGTGGATCTCATACAACATCTTCCTCCGTTAGGAAGAAGTGACCATGCTGTGCTCACTTTCAAGTTCACAGCAACGGCAGCAAGGGCCAAAACCCCAGCTCGACCAAACGTTTGGAAAGCTGACATAAATGCGATCGTCTCAGCAGCCAACTCAGTAAACTGGTACATCAATCCAGAGTCCCAAGTAGAAGCCGCATGGAACCAATTTAAGCAACTTTACGCCCAAGTAACTGTACCCTTCATCCCTTGGTCTGTTCCAAAGGGTCGGAAACATTCCCCCCTTGGATAAACCGGGAGATTCGTAAGTTACTCAGACGTAAACGCAAATGTTGGAACCTGTTTGCAACACTTGAGACTTCTGAGACCAGGGAATTATATACTACTGCTAGAAATAAAGCTATCGCAGAAATCCGCCAATCAAGGATGAAGTTCGAGACACACCTGGCCCAAAATGCAAAGGCACAACCTAAGAAAATTTTCTCGTACTTGAATTTCAGGAATAAAACACCCAATGGTGTCCCAAACCTGATTATTGACAAAGATACAATCGAAGAAGATCAAGAAAAAGCAGAAGCAATGGCAAACTACTTCTCCCAAGTCTTCACTCAGGAGTCATCACTGCCTATAGGATCAGCTCTGGCTGCATCAGAAGAACATGGGATAGATTCCGTTGACATCGACCAAGGCATCGTGCTCAACTTCTTAATGAAACTAGATGCAGGAAAATCAATGGGTCCTGACAATCTTCATCCAAGGCTTCTCAAGGAGCTATCAGCCCACATAGCCGGCCCCTTGACCACGATCTTCAAGCTATCTCTCCTAAATGGAGTGTTGCCACGTGATTGGAAAGACGCCATAGTAACCCCCATACACAAAGGAGGATCAAGACAAAGCCCTTCAAATTACAGGCCTATCAGTCTCACCAGCACTTTAATCAAGACACTGGAAAGAATTATCAAGAAAAGCATCATGGCTTATCTGGAAAATAGCAGCTTGTTATCTGGAGCACAGCATGGCTTCCGGAGGAACCTCTCATGCCTGTCAAATCTCCTGACTGCAAGAGAAAGCTGGGTCAAATCAAAGGACAACAGAAGACCCGTTGACGTCGTCTTCATAGACTTCAGTAAAGCCTTTGATAAAGTACCTCACAAAAGACTACTCATGAAATTGGAAAGTCTTGGTATCAAAGGCAGACTACTAGACTGGCTCAGGGAATTCCTCATAGATAGGAGGCAGAGGGTTAGGATCAACTCAAAACTCTCCTCCTGGACAGCAGTAAGTAGCGGAGTGCCACAAGGCACGGTTCTCGGTCCTCTCCTTTTTATTCTGTATATCAATGAGTTACCTCTGCTCACCGACTCCCCTATGGTCCTATACGCAGATGACTTAAAAATTTGGAGAGAGCTGAAGGGCAACAGTGATACGTTCACGTTGCAAGAGGACCTCAACAAATTGTCGGAGTGGTCTGTTGAATGGATGCTCCCGATCAATGTGGCAAAATGTGCAACCATGCGCATTGGACAAGCAAGCACGAGCTCCTACGAACTAGAGGGAATAACACTTCCATCAGTTCAGACTCACTTGGACTTAGGTGTCATAGTTAGCCACGACTTAAAAACTACAGCACACTGTCGCGCGGTGGCTGCACGTAGTTTCAGGTCCTTATGGGCGATTCGCAGAGCCTTTACAAGAATTACCAGAGATATGTTCACCTCCTTATACACATCTCTGGTTAGGTCAAGACTGGAAAACTGCATCCAGGCCGCCAGTCCGTGTCTAAAAGGGGATTCACACATTCTAGAAAGTGTTCAAAGGAAGGCAACACGTATGGTTCACGGCATAGCTAACTTATCATACGAGGAAAGACTAGATAGTTTAAATCTCTTCTCACTGTCATACCGTAGGCAGAGAGGAGATTTAATCACAATGTTTAAAATTTTAAATAATGACTACGGACCTGACCTATTCTCTCTTTTCCTTCCCACCAGGTCGGAACACCTTAGAGGACATAGCAGGAAAGTTCAAAAGCCAAGGAGAAATCATATTGCTGTTGAGTACTGGTTCTCACATCGAGTCATAAACTCTTGGAACCGACTCCCAGAAGAAGTGGTGTCTGCAACCTCAACTGATTCGTTCAAGAAGGGTTTGGACAACCACAGAAATCTACTAGAAAAGGATTAACATAGGCTGCAAGCCTTCTATCCTCAACCAATAAATCTGAATCTGAATCTGAAATCTGATAACAATATTCCAAAAGTGTTGATAAATATTTTTCAAGCTTGTCTTATTCCCATATGCAGTAGCATAATGTGTGCTTCTGAGATTTCAGTGAGATACATTATGCGAACAATAGTTTTAAAAGACAAACAAAATGATTACAGTTCAGTTAGTCCACATTCAAATTGCGCAGTATGAACAAGGTTGTTGTTGTGACAACGCGGAACATTTTTCAAATGCAAAACTTAAACGAATCTGGGTCCGACACATACAAACTGCATCCACAGAATAAATCACTTTGTAACTGCTATTTTACATCTTTTCATATCAGCGTGCCGTCATTGATGGAAGTCTCTTTCATGAACTCAATCCGTGCAAATCGAAGCCTGTGTGGTTGAGAATGGGGTGTTTGGATGTTTCAAAGATTCCAACAGGATAACATGGTCAGATGCCATGCTGAGATCAGGAAATTGAAGTCAAAAGCCCACAAATGGATGAATTTAGGATTCAAAGTACAATGAAAATTTAGGGGGGTTTCGATGGTGATTCAGAACAATTCAGTCAATCTGCGGAAGTAATATGCCATAAACTAACTGACAGTGAAAGTGACCCATGAACGTTACGTTCTCCAACACACTCCATCGCCATGCAGTTACTTTCTTCTATCGGCTGAAATCATCATTTCAACAAACCACTCTACGGCTGTGTGTTGCCACATCCCAAATGATTCGCAAAAAGGAACTCGGTGAAACCTTATAAGGGAAGACGGGGTTAAGGAAAGAATGCTTCCTAATTTTACCGATGATACTCTGGCTGCGGTGGACTGGGATATGCAGAAGACTGTGGAGACAGAGAGGACAGCGATAGGCTAGACCTATCAGGAGACCTCCCAGGTAATTTTATCTCCTGTAGGACAAACTCGAAGAGTTACAGCTGAAAATCAACAGGTTGAAAGGATAGAGAAATAGCAAAGAAGGGACACCAAATTTACAAGGAGAATGGCGAGGCGATGAAAATACCTAAGGAAGCCAACCATGCCTTCGTTTCAGTATACTTGTATCGGTAGAACTGAGCCAGTCACTTACGAGTTGAATTTCCTCAGGTAGCTGATTTCGCATTTAGTGCCGAGAGGGATTCTGTAGTCATATCGCGTTATGTTTGGCCGTTTGATGTGTGTGGTTTCAAGTCACTATTTAGAGTCTCGGCGAGGGCAGTCGTTCTGTCTGCTAACAGTACATACATTGTGTTCGACAGTGACAAGCACTCGGTAGGAATGTGAAAAACTAATTTCTGTAGACATTTTATATGGGTCTATGATTTGGTTTTATGAACGTTGAACAAGAGTTAACATAGGGGTGCTACACTTCTCTGCCTTGTCACTGAATATCATGCTACTGCAGACGAATGCGTCTATGTAGCTAATTACCACCAACCGTACATCAGGTGATGCTTGCCAACTTTTTATATTTATCGCCAACGAGGTTTTCGCGCATTCTGTAACACCACCTGTAGGTTATTTGGAGATATAAAAGCATGGGGTGCTTAGATATAAATACAGGTGCCTGGAAATAACTGATAAAAGTCAAATGATCAGCTACTTCCAACTTACCTCCAATATCCAATGTCGTTTTTACGAGCAAGTATAAACTAATTTGTTTTCTTTGTGCTCGCTTCTTGATTTGGAGGTAAAGTTTCCTGTACTGCGGTAAATTTCTGAGTAAGTCTTCCCGCCACTCGACATTCGTAGCTTTGGTTGACTACAAGAGGATTAGTGCTGGGGTTAATCATATGTTGTTTGTAGCGTGCGATGTCTTAATATTTTGTTACTACTGTGAATGGGGCTGATCCTTTCACTAGTTAGTCCTCCGGTATCGTCGTCAAAAGAAAACGGATGATTATAATAGATAAAATTGGTGTAAGTTATTCAGACCAAGAGACGGAGAAAGTAATTAATAAAACGTGAAAACAGACAGCTAATCATATTGGAAGTTGATATATATTCATATATATGTATATAATATCAATAATGATGAGCGTAAGTGTAGTAGTTGGAGTAGTCATAAGAGTAAGACGGGAGGGAATGTAAGGAAGTGAAACGACGAATGTAGTTATTCAGCCACGAATGGTGTATGGGATTTAAAGGGTACAGGCCATTTGGACGCAGCCATTGTGCCGCTGCATGATTGTCCAGCCTTTACTTTAAAGTGTCTATAGACGAGGCCGTAACTACATCTACCAGTAAGGAGTTCCAGGAACGGCAAACCCGCACTGAAAAGAAGTGGGAGCGCACCCGAGTCCTTGTCTTCTGGTGAGCTATCCTTCTAGGATTTCTACGGGGAAGCACATACCTACTCAATGGCAGAACACCTTTGTCTGGATGATTTTGGTCACTTGTTATCTTGTAAGCAGTAGTCTGATCACCCCTAAGCCGACGGTAGATAAGTGTTAATGGGATTAATTTCTTTAGCCTTTCACCACACGGTTTATTTCGGAAATCAGCCACTCCTTTTGTCGCTCGTCTTTGGACTCTTTCTAAGCAGTGGAGGTGCAATGATGTGTGGTCTGATGTATGTTTTGTACAACCTTAGAAAGAGCTCAGGAGTGAGCACACCTAACTGCCAATGTGTCAAGTGCATGACGGCATAAGCCCTTGCTACATTTCCCGAGGAATTTACGACTTGGTCAATTTTTTAATGTTAGAATTAGACCTAATTCAGGTTCCTGTTTTGTGTAGGACAAGCTATCATTGCACAGGGCGTAACTTGCATTCTGTAGCCTAAAGGTGCGTAATTTCGCTACTTTTTCAGGTCACGCCATTTGCCACCGCCCAGTTTTACGGAATCTTTAGATCTACCTGCAGCCTATATGAGTCTTCCGAACACTTTATTGCCTCCATATCTTTACGTCGTCAGCGTATAGAAGAGTCAGGCAGTATAGACGTTATTGTAGGTCATTGATAAAAATCTGAAACACCGGTGGTCCTAGGATGGAACACTGAGACACTCCGGATGATGAGCCGTGCCAAGATGATCGGACTCGATTGACTTTACTGCGAAATCGCCTTTCAGCCAGGTAATCATGACAGAAGTGGCTTACCTATACCTGCCTGACTTATTTGGTGTAGAAGAAGGTAACGGTGAACTGTGTCAGATGCCTTCTCAAGGTCTAGGACGACCACATGGACTGGAACATTCATATCCCAGCATGATGTCCAATTGTCCTAAGCCGATAGTAGGTCTGTCACACAAGATCTGTTCTTCCTGAAACCGTGTTGGGATTCATGGAGTCTATTAGTCCTATTGAGGTGCCCCCTGATGTGATCACCAATAAAACTTTCCAGTACTTTTGATACCACTGGGTGTATGGCTACTGGTCTATAACCAGTGTGTCAATGGAGTTGAAGATTGAACGATCAATTCTTGGTTGTTTGCTCAAAATCAACTTCCCCAATTTTTGCGGAGGCATCAATACAACAGTCATCGTCTCATCGGTCGCTGTTCAGAAAGAAGAGTGAAACATCGTCAGAAGTAATCTTATGATTTATTATTGTAATATTTGTTCACAGACCTTAGTTCAGTTATTATTTTCATATGTTGGTGTAACAATAAAGAAATCTCAAGCGGCCAATCGGTGTTTTGGTTTTTTCGTCCGTTATAACTAAGCGTTTCTGAAAACTTCAAGGAACAGCGTGGGCCCGAGCGTAGCAAGAGCTGGGCATTAACGGTTTATGAGACGTGATTGACAGTTTCTGACGATAGAAATAGATCTGGCGCATTCAAACAGTTGGTGAAAGTTTGGATAGTCGCCGTTCATTTTTCCTGGTGCCGGTCAAGTCCTATTTGAACCAGCGATACCTGGAACCTTTTTGGAATTGGGTCAAGTTCAACAATGCCTGGGTCAAAGAAGGGACAGAGTGTCTTGGGTGAAAACAGGAAAGTAAGTCATGGTGACTTGTCTGTTAATTGTAACGATGTGTCTGATGTTAAGCATGATATGGTTGATGTTACTGTTTCGCCGTTCAGGGATAATAGGAACATCAAACTCCCTAAATTAGAACCACGGTGTTTCGATGGAAACCCGGCTGATTATTTACAATTTGTAAAGGAGTTTGAGATCATGTTGAGTAGTTTTCTATCAAGTGATGAATTGAAGTTAATGTATTTGATGAGATATTGCACTGGAGATGCTGCAAGAGCTATATAGTGCTGTAAGTTTATGAAGCCAAAAGAGGGCTACGATGAGGCTATGAGCATATTACGTCAAAGGTTTGGAAGACCTTCAATGATTGTAAGGAACGTATACGAAGCTGTCAAAGGTAATGGCAGCCAACTTCGAGATGACTCCAAGGCACTTACTGAGTTTTTAGATAATCTTATGACTTATAAGAATGCCTTGATTTCTATGAATTGCATGAGTGACCTCAACTCCAGCTCAGTCCCTTACAACTAACAACTGAACACACACCTAAGAGTTCCCCGGTTTACTATCAATATAGGGACCATCGAAATGCTGACTGGGAATTCCTACCAACGCTCTTGAGAAGCTCAGACTGGGGTGAATACTTCACCAATAATAACTTAGAAGTAATACTAAATACCTTCTACAAGACAATCAGTTCGGTAAGAGACACAATCGCACCCCTGAAATCTGCCCTAAAGACACCAACTCTGTTCATAGATCGCAAAACGCGAATAAAACTAAGGAAACTAAAAAGGAGATTTTATTTATACAAAGAATTTAATGCATTACACCTGATACACGAAATATTTAAAAATTTAGATGAGAGACATAAAATGAAAGCACAAGTCGAGGAAAATAAAGCCCTAGAGGGCACCTCTAAAACCCAGGAACTCTGCAAAATCCTGCAAAAACGGCTGAAGAAGGGTAAAGAAAACAATATCAGTCATTTAGAACACGAAGGTATAATTTACGATGATCCCCAGATCATTAGTGAACTCCTGAGTGAGTGGTTCTCC